AATTGTTGGTGACCTCAACCAGCACCTTATACAGAGGGACTTTGATGACCTTCTTTGCAGGTTTGACATGAGAAACTTTGTTGATTTCCCTACTCATATCTCTGGCTCCCCTTCCTCCCTTTACCTCAGTAGTGAGTGATCTGGCAGAAGGCATAGTCACTTGTCAACCCCCTCGGGTACGTTGATCGTCTGACCACAAGGCTGTTTTACCACACTTAAGAACCCAACAGAACGAGGTGAGGAGTCCACACGCACAACCGGCTATGGGAAAGAGGTAATTGGCCAGCACCTTGGGTCTGAGCTCCCACCACCGACTGAATGCTCTTCCTACCAGGGGAATGTTGCAACCAAGTGAAAGCCTTCACTGGAACACATCCTTAATTCTGCAACAAGAACACATTCCTTCACCGGCAATATTGACAAAGCCTACAAATCAGCTTGGTTTTGGCTTATCGTTGTAGAGAGGCTGCTACTGCTAAGTACAAAGCATGGCGAAGGTATAAGAGACATCCTACCACCTATAACAGAACTTTTCACATGTGCAAGCCTGTAGGCATATGGGATGATGTCAAAAGTGGGCCATTGCTAAATGGGAGTTGGACACTAAAAGAAAGTAGCATCAAGTAGGGTAGGCTCCAAACCTGGTGGTGTCCCTGTCAAGGACGAAGACAAGGTTTCTGCCTGATGAACTTATTTTCCAACCTCTAAATAATCGACAGGAAGGGACACCTCTAACTAGTAGTCAAGAGAAAGCGGACCTCTTTGCTGAACCCTTTTGCTACCAAAATGCAAAGTTCCTGAACCCAGCAAGGACCCTCCTTGGCTAGCTGCAAGAGAACCTCTCCTTGGCTAGCTGCAAGAACTTATACCAAAACTGTCAGGGGTGACAATAAAGGCAGGAGGAGGTGCATTTCCTTCTTAAATCACTTGACCAGAAAAGGCTGTGGGCCCAGACAAGTTGAGCCAAGATTGTGAGAAGATGTGCAGACCAGCTAGCAGCACCTCTAACTCGCATCTTTCAGCACTGCCTAGTACGTGCAAATGGCCTCTCCATGGAAGGAGGCAAATGTAGTCCCTGCTTCCAAAAAGAAGAGCAGAGCAGAAATCAGCAACTACAGACAGTGTCACTCCTGTCAATCATGTAAGATCTTGAGACAATAATCTCAAGGAAAATGTCAGATTTCTTTGACTACCACTCACTACTTTGTGATCGTCAAATATGGCTTCAGGAAAGGTTACTCTGCTGCTGATCTGTTGTTAAACCTCTCCACTAGTGCACCAGTTTTTTTCCCCCCCCCCCCCCCCCCACTGGATGAATCCAAAGTCAGCTGTGTGGTAGCACTGGACTTGCTGGCGCTTTCGACGGGATGTGGCCACAGGTGCCTCTTAGCAAAACTTCAAGCACTGGTGAATTCAGGCTACTACGCTATGTCTCCTCAGTGATTACCTTCATGGTAGACTCTAAGTGTAGTTCTCAATGGAACGGAATCAGCAAGACATCCTATTCGGCGGGCAAGAGTTCCACAAGGAAGTGTGCTGGGTCACTGTTATGAATGTCTACTTCAACGACCTTCTTCATCTCGTCCCAGAATCACATGCATTGCAGACGACTGTACCACTAACATTCACTTATCACAAGGAAGAAATGCCAGTGCGCTAAGCTACATTCAATTTCAGCTGAGAGCTATATCAGCTTGGGGAATAGTTGGCAAGTAACAATTTGCACTGAGAAAACGCAAATGATGATCGTCTCTAGGCACCATGATGGTTAATGCTGGTGCAGTAGTAAGTGAATGGGGACGATGTTGGCACCTGGAGAAGGAAGTTGATATCCTTGGAGTGGAAATTGACTCCAAACTATACCATGAAGTACTCCATGTTGTAAATCTTGCAAACCAGGCTGCCAGGAAGGCTTACAGCACTTCGCCGATATATCAAATCTGCTTGACTCAGTAGGGGTTGCAAGATCCTGGTACGAGGCAAAGTACGCTTACACCTTGAGTGTGCCTCCACTTTTCTTGGTTTGCCTGTCCCCCTCTCATCTGCGACTGCTTGACAGAGTAGACGAAAGAGCAAAGACGTCCTCATCTCTCGCCTGGACCCTTCCTGGGATGGTCTGTCTTTTCAGCAGAGCTTCACTAGGGAGAGATGTGGGTGGCCTTATGTTATGTACAATGGCCCAATATTGATATATATCAAAATACCACACTTGGATCCACTTCGAGGACAGCGCGAAACAAGCTTTTATGCCCACAAGACGGGCAGAAAGCAGCAACTTCACTCTGGCTGTACCCTTCTAAAGAAACATCACTCATCTGAGATCAGACATACCAACGGATGACTCGAGTATGAACACTGTCGTACAGCATAATGATGTCAACGAGATAACGTCAGTTGAACAAATGAAAATGCTGGCCCCACAGATGGCTCCAACTTTCATCCTGTTCCATACTTGTATGTCTCATAACAATATAATGCTTTCAAATGAGCTGATGTAGGGTAACAGCTCTTAGCTTTGTCCAATAAAAGTTAGGAATCCTTAACCTGTAAATAGGCTCTGTCAATAAACCTAGGGAATCCTTAACCTTGTCAAACAATGTGTAAAAAAAAAAAAAAAAAAAAAAAAAAAAAAAAAAAAAAAAAAAAAGAGGAGAGAGAGAGAGAGTGAGAGAGAGAGAGAAGTGAGAGAAGAGAGAGAGGAGAGAGAGAGAAGAGAGAAGGGAGCTGAGAGAGATGGAGAGGAGAGAGAGAGAATGGAAGAGAGCGAGAGAAGACGACGAGAGAGAGAGAGAGACCGTGAGAGAGAGAGAGAGAGAGAGAGAGATGAGGGAGGAGAGAGAGAGAGAGGGAGAGAGCAGGGAGAGGAGAGAGAGAGGAGAGAGAGAGAGAAGAGAGGAGAGAGAGAGAGAGAGAGAGAGGAAGAGAGAGTGGGGAGAGAGAGAGAGAGGAGAGAGAGAGAGGGGAGAGAAGAGGGAGAGAGAGAGGAGAGAGAGACGGAAGAGAGAGAGGGGAGAGAGGAGAGGGAGAGGGAGTGGGGAGAGAGACGGGAGAGAGGGAGAGAGAGAGGGGAGGAGGTGAGGAGATGAGGAGGGAAGGACCGAGAGAGAGAGAGAGATGAGAGTTAGAGAGAGAGAGAGGAGAGAGAGAGAGATGGATGGATCTGTCATTTCAGCAGAGCCTTCAACATAGGAGGGATGTGGGTGGCCTTACTGTTTGTACAAGGCCAATATGTCAAAATACCACACTTGGATCCACTTCGAGGACAGCGCGAAACAGCTTTTATTGCCACAGACGGGCAGAAGCAGCAACTTCACTCTGGCGTACCCTTCTCCAGAAATCACCCATCTGAGATCATACATACCCAGGATGACTCGAAGTATGGAACACATTCGTACAGCATAATGATGTCAACGAGATAACGTCAGTTGATCAAATGAAAACGCTGCCCACAGATGCTCCAACTTCATCCTGTTCCTACTTGTATGTCTCATAACAATAAAAATGCTTTCAAATGAGCTGATGTAGTAAACAGCTCTTAGTTGTCAATAAAGTTAGGAATCCTTAACCTGTAATAGCTTGTCAATAAACCTAGGGATCCATAACCTTGTCAAACCATGTGTAAAAAAAAAAAAAAAAAAAAAAAAAAAAAAAAAAAAAAAGAGAGGGAGAGAGGAGAGAGGGAAAAAGGGGAGAGAGGAGAGAGAGGGAGGGGGAGAGGGGGGAGGAGGGGAGGGGAGAGGGAGGGGAGAGGAAGAGAGAGAGAGGGAGAGGAGAGAGAGAGAGGGAGGGGAGAGAGAGAAGAAGAAGAGAAGAGAGGAGGAGAGGGGAAGGAGAGGGGGAGGGAGGGGGAGGGAGAGAGAGAGGGAGGAGAGGGGGAGAGAAAGGGGAGGGAGGGAGGGAGAGGAGAGAGGAGGGGAGAGAGAGAGGGAAGAGAGGGAGGGAGAGAGGGAGGGAGGGAGGGGAAGAGGGGGGAGAGAGAGGGGGAGAGAGGGGAGAGGGGGGAGAGAGAGGAGAGAGAGGGGGAAGGAGGGGAAAAGAGAGAGGGAGGGGGGGGAAAAAAAAAAAGGGAAAAAAACCAGGGAAAAGGAAAAGAGGACAGGGGGGGGAAGGGAAAGAGGAAGGGAGGACATTACACCCAAGGTCACCGGGATTTAATGTACACCCAGAGTGTACACCGGGGGGTGTAATGTTTACACCAGAGTGTAACCGGGGGGGGGTGTACATGTACACCCAGAGTGGACACCGGGGGGGTGTCATGTACACCCCCGAGTGTACACCGGGAGTGTACGGTGTACTTTTACACCCAGAGTGTACACCGGGAGTGTACGAGTGTACTGTACACCCGAGTGACACCGGGGGTGTTTTACCCGAGTGGGGGTTTTGTACACCCGAGTGTACACGGGGGGGTGTACATGTAACCCCTGTACACCCGGGGGTGTACAAAAAGTGTAACCGGGGGTGTACATGTACCCAGGTTTTAAAGGGGGGGTTACATTAACCCCGAGTGACACCGGGGGGTGTACTGTACACCCCGAGTGTACACGGGAGTGTTGTAACCCGGGTACACCGGGAGTGACATGTACACCAGGGTACACCGGGGTGTACTGTACACCCAAGTGTACACCGGGAGTTACATGTACACCAGAGTTTTACACCCGGGGGTGTACATGTAAAACCCCGAGTGTACCCCGGGGTGTACATGTACACCCCGAGTGTACACCGGGGTGTTAATGTACACCCAGAGTGTACACCGGGGTGTACTTTACCCCAGAGTGTACACCGGGAGTTAATTACACCCAGAGTGTACCCGGGAGTGACATGTAACCCAGGGTTACCCCGGGGTGTACATGTACACCCGAGTGTACCCCGGGGGGGTTTAAATGTTCACCCAGAGTGTAACCGGGAGTGTACTGTATACCCAGTGTACCCCGGGAGTGCCCCTTTACACTCAGTGTACACACCGGGTGTACATACACCATGTACGGGTGTAGTAGTGTGTACTACCTCTTGGTGTCGTTGGGAGAGAGGTCTGTGGAGGAGGTGTCAGCGTCGCCGCGACCCCGGCGGCGCCGCCTGCGGTACGCCAGGTACGACGACTCGTCCCCGCCGCCGCCGCCACCGCCACCGCCGCCGCCACCACTTTCCTCGGAGGACGACCACTCAGCTGTGCCGTACCTGTCGTGGACACGTCAAAACTTGTATTAGCGAAGCTGTGTGTGTGTGTGCGCGCTTACCTAGTTGTGGTTGCAGGGGTCGAGTCGCAGCTCCTGGCCCCAGCACCTGTGTGTATGTCTGTGTATGTGTGGAGAGAGTATTATTTTAATTATTCAATTTGAAATTAGTTCAATTATACGACTAGAATGAGGAATAACTTAAAAGTTGAATTTAAAAATCTATGAGCGCTTTCGTGTGCTGAAATACATCTTCAGAGCAACTATTATTATTATTATTATTGTTATCATAAAAACTGAAGGGTTAAACCCACACGAGTCAAACATCCTCGGAGGAACTAGTTGCTCTGAAGACGTCTGTGTGAGCACACGAAAGCCATCATGTATTTCTGGATATTACTAGTGATATTATTCTGATGTGACGCACACAGGTGTAGATACTTCACACACACACATACACACACACCACCACACACACACCACACCCACACACACACACACACACACAACACACACACACACACACCACACACACACACACACACACACACACACAACACACACACACACACACACACACAACACACACACACACACACACACACACACACACAACACACAACACACCACACACACACCACACACACACACACACACACACACACACACACACACACACACACCACACACACACACACACACACACACACACACACAACCACACACCACACACACACACACACACACACCACACACACACACACACACACACACACACACACACACAACACACCACACACACCACACACACACACACACACACACACACACACACACACACACACACACACGCACACACAAAACACACACACACACACAAACACATACACACACACACACACACACACACACATACACACACATACACACACACACACATACACACACACACACACAACACAACACACACACACACACACACACACACACACACACACACACACACACACACACACAACACATACACACACAGGTGTAGTGAGAGACGCACCTGGCAGCAATCTGCTTACGACGTTCCTCCTTGTACCTCTGTATCCTCTCTCTCCTCTCGATCTCTGCTCTCTCAGACTCTGAGAGATCATTGTGAGACCCACCACCAGCACCACCACCACCAGCACCGCCACCACCACTACCACTACTGTTGTGCTGCACCATCCTGCTGTTGTTGCTACTACTGTTGCTGCTGCTGTTGCTGCTGCGGTCAACAATAAAGTTACCAATTAGCCAAATTCTCAGGTATAAACAAAACTTTAATACTTAAAAGTAAGGACTAAAATAAAAGTTGTGAGAAGTGAGACTAATAAAGTCAATCTTACTCTCGGAAGAGAATTACTGAAGCAGAGTTTACACTACAAGTTTACACGTTAAAGCAAGTTGCAAAAGTATATTTTGGTCACATGATCTCTGCCATGACAGCAACACTGTCATGAGGTAAGAAAACTGTCCTTAACGTTTTAAATGGAACGTCTACACGTAGTGACATACACATCACTTCAGAATGTATATATATATATACTGGTGATGCTAGTGCATACACATCAAGAAATATACACTCTTCAGAATAAATACAAAATACACTAACTATACTGACAATGGTTGCAGTGTAAGGGCGAAATATACAGTAGTATTCAGTTTTATCTTTCCTTGTGTTGTCTACATGTGGTCAGGGACGGATCTACTATGAAACTGATAAAGCTTAAGCTTCAGGGCCCCTAATCCCGGAGGGGCCCCAGAAGCCACTTTAGTCCACAATGCTTAAAAAATTTGGGTCTACTGTATGAGTGGTTACAAAGGGGCTGCCCATTAGAGTTCAAACTTCAGGAACCCAAAAATATAGATCCGCCAGTGCTCGTAGGGTTGTTTTGTTTACACTGTGTTATAGAGACCTTGTGTATACCTCACCGTACACCAGCTCTCAGGAGAACAATATTACTAGGACGTGATGAATGGTTTTGAAAACCGACAAGTTGAAGAATTGAGACACTTATGCTACACATGGGAATCTTTATTGAAGAAACGTTTCGCCACACAGTGGCTTCATCAGTCCAATACAAAGTATAAATGGGTAAGGAGAGGAGAAGTTTGAGGTAATCAGTCCCTCAACCTGGAATCGATGTGTTCAGTCCATCACTCTTGTAGGAAGTGCAGCATAGTGCCAGAGAGGTGACTTATATACTGCAGTGAGATGAGTTGAAGCAGGAGGAGGCGGGATCACAGTGGGACCTGCCACTGCCACTAGTGTTAAGTAGGTCGTCGTCCAAAGGTTGGGTAAGCGTTGAAGTATTTGTACCAAGATCCCATGTATTGGACTAATGAAGCCACTGTGTGGCGAAACGTTTCTTCAATAAAGATTCCCATGTGTTGCATAAGTGTCTCAACTCTTCGACATTACTAGGACGTCTGAGTCAGTACTGAACTACTATCAGGTCACAACTGAGTGAGCAAAACAGAGAAAGTTATTCGCCTAAGTGACAATTTCTGGTAAACTGTTGACGGTAATGTCACATTATATACATGTCGTGCCGAATAGATAAAACTTGCGATTTTGGCTTAAATAGCAACGCTCTTCTTGCCGACTAAAGCAAGCGAAAATTTGTTTATGTAATAATTTCGCAAAAAATAATTCTGGACCAAACGAAACTATATATTTCATTGTGTCTGTTTATTATCAAATTATTGTAAACTTATCTAAAATATATTTAGTTGGATTAGACTAAATTAAATTACACTTGTTATAATAAGGTCAGGTAAGTTTTCTAAGGTTGTTTTGGCACAAAATTATTAATTTTTACATTAACATAAATGAAAAAATATATCTTTAAACGTATAAGAGAAAAATTCAGAAAGGACTTAATTTTAAATGAGTTCTTGCTAAGTGACCAGTTTTACCTATTCAACACGACATTATATATATTATATATATTATATTATATATTATATATATTATATATATATATATATATATTATTCTTTATATATATTTACCTTATTTTCTTTTCAGGTGAGGCTGATCGTTCATCTGGTCTTCTTTCTCTCCTTTCCTCTTCCTTCCTCTGTTTCTCTGGAGTTTGTCGCTTCTCTTTTTCTTCACTTCGTCGCTTCTCCCGTTCAACGCTCTTCCTCTTTTCGCGTTCTATATTCTTCTTCCTCTCTCTCTCCTGGTGTTTCCTCTTCTCTCTCTCTTCGCTCTTCCTTCTCTCGCGATCTTCCAGAGACTTTCTCTTCTCGCGTTCCACTAATTTCTTCTCCACGCTTCCCTGCGTCTTCTCTCTCGCCTCTCTCTCCCTCTCGTTAATTTTCAATCTATCATATTCGATTTTTCTATCGTTGCTTTCCCTCTCTCTCAGTTTACTTGGGTCCTTCTCACCCTTGGGTCTGCGCCTTTCTCCCTCACTCTTCCTCCTCTCCCTCTCCTTCTCTGCCTCACTCCTCCTCCTCCTCCTCTCCCTCGCTTCCTCACCTTCGGTCCTCTGCGCCTCCCTCACCGGCGACCCTCCTGTAACACAATAAACACAAAGTTAACCTAAAACTTTTAACGCAATAATCAGAAGGAGAAAGAGTCGAACTTTATCTGTGAAAGTTGAGAGAGAGAGAGAGAGAGAGAGAGAGAGAGAGAGAGAGAGAGAGCAGAGACGAAGAGAGAGAGAGGGAAGAGTGAGGAGAGAGAGAGAAGAGAGATTAATATACCCAACATAATAACCGAATGCGAGAGTGAGCAACACACACACACACACACACAAACACACACACACACACACACACACACACACAGGAGGCAGGAACCATACATAGCTTTAAGATGAGGTATGATAAAGTTCATGGAGCAAGGAGAGAGGACCTAGTAGCACTCAGTGAAGAGGCGGGGCCAGGAGCTGAGTCTCGACCACTGCAACCACAATTAGGTGAGTACACACACACACACAATGTGGACAGAGACAGGATGTTCCAGAGATGGGACACAGCAACAAGGGGTCACAGTTGAAAGTTGAAGACTCAGATGAATCACAGGGATGTTAGGAAGTATTTCTTCAGTCACAGAGTTGTCAGGAAGTGGAAATGCCTGGGAAGTGATGTAGTGGAGGCAGGATCCATACATAGCTTTAAGAAGAGGTATGATAAAGCTCATGGAGCAGGAAGAGTGACCCAGTAGCGACCAGTGAAGAGGCGGAGCCAGGAGTTATGAATCGACCCCTGAAACCACAACTAAGTGAGTACAACTAGGCGAGTACACACACATACACACCACTTGACAGGGTAAACTCTTGTAAACCAAAGAATGACGGCTTCATCACCAAGGTAAACCAGGGGAAACTTAACTAATACTTGATGTTTTGATAAGATATCATGGTAAATTAAAACTTACGAACAGCAACGTGTAAAAAAAACTGACAGTATCATTGTACAATGTCTTCATAAAATATGTCTTCATAAAACATGTCTGAAACATGTCTTCATGAAACATGTCTTAACGAAGATCACACAGGCAGAACGAAGGATGACTTCACAGAAGGAAGACAGCTGCTACACTATTAAATTAATAGCAAATATCACACCCTGAGACTCCGTGGATAAATTCCTGCAGGGTGAAACGTTGGGCATGTTACCTTACACCTGCTGCCACTGTCACCTAGCAATAAGTAGGTACGTGGGTGTTACACCTGCTGCTCCTGTTCACTTAGCAGTAAGTAGGTACCTGGGTGTTACTCACCTTACACTGCTGCCCCTGTTCGCCTGGCAGTAAGTAGGTACCTGGGTGTTAGCCACCTTACACCTGCTGCCTCTGTTCACCTAGCAGTAAGTCCGTAGGTACCTGGGTATTACCTTACACCTGCTGCTCCTATTCACCTAGCAGTAAGTACCGCTTCCGCCATCCAGTAGCTTTATCAATACAACTTCTAGGACATAATTGGAAGACGGTAGAACTAGATACAGAAGATGGGGTAATCAGTCCCTCAGCCTTGGAGTTGGTGTGAAGAACACCGTGGTTGTGAAGAATCTGGAGCACAGGTAAGAAGGCTGGCGCTTATATACTGGCGTCAGGTGGAAAAGAAAACGTCTATATTACACATTACACATATAACTTGTCAGACACTGGAACATCACGGAATCTTGGTTCAGAGAACATCTACGTGACCTTCATTACTACTAACCCGTCCCTTGGGTATGACCTACTTCCACTGGGGAATCCAACCTACCAGTGACAATGCCTTCGTCTACTACCCGTCCCCTTTCCACCTGACGCCAGTATATAAGCGCCAGTCTCCTTGCCTGTGCTTGGGACATATTTCCATAAGACACCTGTTGTCCCTGTTCACCCATCAGTATAAAATGGGCACCTGGGTGCTAGTCGATAGGTGTGGGTCGCATCCTGGGACAAAACTGACCCAATTTGCGGGAAATGCTCTGCATAACAAGAAGTTTTCTATATAATAGTATATCACTGATGTCAGCTATGGTCTGTATACCTTGTACATGCACTTGTACAAATAAAGATATTATATTATTATTATTAACCAAACAATTTTTATCCTAGGCAATTTACACACATGTTACTATGTATGATAATTGTTATCACCTAAGTTGTACTTAAATAAACTCACTAAGCAAGTTACCCCTCGCCACTGAGTCGTTTTCTCTGTTAAAGTTGTGTTCTAATCCACGTTTTCTTTACCCACAGGTTTAAGGTACTATGATAAAGCTGCTTCTGGTTATAATAATAATAATAATAATAATAATAATAATAATAATAATAATCTTTATTTCTATAATAATGATATAACTTATAGACTATCTGACATCAATGAATAATAATTATATAAATAATATATAATATATAATAATAATAATAATAATAATAATAATAATAATTATTATTATTATTATTATTATTATTATATTATATTATTATTATTATTATTATTATTATTATTACATCGACACCATGCCCAGCCCTTCTAGGGTAGGGTAGGTGCCTGAGCCCGAGCCTTTAGCTCATAAGACTGTCATTCCCATTACCCCCCCCTTGGGGCGGGGATGGCAGACCAGAGAGGCCTAGCTTGTGGCTAGGCCTGGGGACAGTTGGTCCCAAAGATGAGGAGGTACTTGTGCCTCCTCCCATGGGAGACTTAGGTCTCAGACACTCCCTAAAGAGGGAGTCAAGGCCGGGCCACCACTTGGAGAAGGCCCGGGCCGGGAGAATACCGGCGAATCTTTAATAATAATAAAATAATAATATTACTACTACTACTACAAGTACTTGATACAACGAACACATCATAACTGACATCAGTCACATACTATACAGAAAGCCCTTTGTTATGCACAGTATTTCGGGCAAACTAGGTTAATTTTGTTCCCAGGATGCGACCCACACCAGGTACCCATTTACTGCTAGGTAAACATGGGGTCGAACCACGAACACTCAAGTGTGTGAGCTGAGCGCCCTACCATACCTAGAGACTTCCTCAATCATGGCATCATCTTTGAAGGGTGAGACTTGTGTAGAGTAGCAGGTATTGTCAACCAGTATGGTAGTATAGGGCAGCAGGTATTGTCAACCAGTATGGTAGTGTAGGGCAGCAGGTATTGTCAACCAGTATGGTAGTATAGGGCAGCAGGTATTGTCAACCAGTATGGTAGTATAGGGCAGCAGGTATTGTCAACCAGTGGTACAGTGGGTAGAGGTATGTCACCAGTATGGTAGGGCAGCAGGTATTGTCAACCAGTATGGTAGTATAGGGCAGCAGGTATTGTCAACCAGTATGGTAGTTAGGGCAGCAGGTATTGTCAACCAGTATGGTAGTATAGGGCAGCAGGTATTGTCAACCAGTATGGTAGTATAGGGCAGCAGGTATTGTCAACCAGTATGGTAGTGTAGGGCAGCAGGTATTGTCAACCAGTATGGTAGTATAGGGAGCAGGTATTGTCAACCAGTATGGTGTAATAGGGCAGCAGGTATTGTCAACCAGTATGGTAGTATAGGGCAGCAGGTATTGTCAACCAGTATGGTAGTATAGGGCAGCAGGTATTGTCAACCAGTATGGTTTGTATAGGGCAGCAGGTATTGTCAACCAGTATGGTAGTATAGGGCAGCAGGTATTGTCAACCAGTATGGTAGTGTAGGGCAGCAGGTATTGTCAACCAGTATGGTAGTATAGGGCAGCAGGTATTGTCAACCAGTATGGTAGTTAGGGCAGCAGGTATTGTCAACCAGTATGGTAGTATAGGGCAGCAGGTATTGTCAACCAGTATGGTAGTATAGGGCAGCAGGTATTGTCAACCAGTATGGTAGTATAGGGCAGCAGGTATTGTCAACCAGTATGGTAGTTAGGGCAGCAGGTATTGTCAACCAGTATGGTAGTATAGGGCAGCAGGTATTGTCAACCAGTATGGTAGTGTAGGGCAGCAGGTATTGTCAACCAGTATGGTAGTATAGGGCAGCAGGTATTGTCAACCAGTATGGTAGTGTAGGGCAGCAGGTATTGTCAACCAGTATGGTAGTGTAGGGCAGCAGGTATTGTCAACCAGTATGGTAGTGTAGGGCAGCAGGTATTGTCAACCAGTATGGTAGTGTAGGGCAGCAGGTATTGTCAACCAGTATGGTAGTGTAGGGCAGCAGGTATTGTCAACCAGTATGGTACAGTAGGGTAGCAGGTATTGTCAACCAGTATGGTAGTGTAGGGTAGCAGGTATTGTCAACCAGTATGGTAGAGTAGGGTAGCAGGTATTGTCAACCAGTATGGTAGTGTAGGGTAGCAGGTATTGTCAACCAGTATGGTAGAGTAGGGTAGCAGGTATTGTCAACCAGTGTGGTAGTGTAGGGTAGCAGGTATTGTCAACCAGTATGGTAATGTAAGATGAGCGACCAGTACCTGAACGACCCCTGTCTGGACTCCTGCCTGGACGACCCTCGCCTGAACGACCCTCGCCTGAACGACCACCGCCTGAACAACCCTCGCCTGAACCCTCGCCTGAACCCTCGCCTGAACGACCCTCGCCTGAACGACCCTCGCCTGAACAACCCTCGCCTGAACGACCCTCGCCTGAACAACCCTCGCCTGAACGACCCTCGCCTGAACGACCCTCGCCTGAAAGACCCTCGCCTGAACAACCCTCGCCTGAACGACCCTCGCCTGAACGACCCTCGCCTGAACGACCCTCGCCTGAACAACCCTCGCCTGAACAACCCTCGCCTGAACGACCCTCGCCTGAACGACCCTCGCCTGAACGACCCTCGCCTGAAAGACCCTCGCCTGAACAACCCTCGCCTGAACGACCCTCGCCTGAACGACCCTCGCCTGAAAGACCCTCGCCTGAACAACCCTCGCCTGAACGACCCTCGCCTGAACGACCCTCGCCTGAAAGACCCTCGCCTGAACGACCCTCGCCTGAACGACCCTCGCCTGAACGACCCTCGCCTGAACGACCATTGCCTGAACAACCCTCGCCTGAACAACCCTCGCCTGAACGACCCTCGCCTGAACGACCCTCGCCTGAAAGACCCTCGCCTGAACAACCCTCGCCTGAACGACCCTCGCCTGAACAACCCTCGCCTGAACAACCCTCGCCTGAACAACCCTCGCCTGAACGACCCTCGCCTGAACGACCCTCGCCTGAACGACCCTCGCCTGAACGACCCTCGCCTGAACGACCCTCGCCTGAACGACCCTCGCCTGAACAACCCTCGCCTGTACAACCCTCGCCTGAACGACCATCGCCTGAACAACCCTCGCCTGAACAACCCTCGCCTGAACAACCCTCGCCTGAACAACCCTCGCCTGAACGACCCTCGCCTGAACGACCCTCGCCTGAACGACCCTCGCCTGAACGACCCTCGCCTGAACGACCCTCGCCTGAACAACCCTCGCCTGTACAACCCTCGCCTGAACGACCATCGCCTGAACAACCCTCGCCTGAACAACCCTCGCCTGAACAACCCTCGCCTGAACGACCATCGCCTGAACAACCCTCGCCTGAACAACCCTCGCCTGAACGACCCTCGCCTGAAACGACCCTCGCTGAACGACCCTCGCCTGAACGACCCTCGCCTGAAACGACCCTCGCCTGAACGACCCTCGCCTGAACCCTCGCCTGTACAACCCTCGCCTGAACGACCATCGCCTGATCACAACCCTCGCCTGAAACAACCCTCGCCTGAACAACCCTCGCCTGAACAACCCTCGCCTGAACAACCTACACCTCGCCTGAACAACCCTCGCTGAACAACCCTCGCCTGAACAACCCTCGCCTGAACAACCCTCGCCTGACACGCATCGCCTGAACAACCTCGCCTGAACAACCCTCGCCTGAACAACCCTCGCCTGAACAACCCTCGCCTGTACAACCCTCGCCTGAACGACCATCGCCTGAACAACCCTCGCCTGAACAACCCTCGCCTGAACAACCCTCGCCTGAACAACCCTCGCCTGAACAACCCTCGCCTGAACAACCCTCGCCTGAACGACCCTCGCCTGAACAACCCTCGCCTGAACAACCTTTGCCTGAACGACCCACAGCATCAATTTCTTACGAACTTTCAATAGCGACCTTCCTCAAGACCAGAAGATGAGCGTCTCTCAGCCTCGTAGAATCTGATGAAA